GACTTTGGACTAACCATCAGCCTGAAGAAAACACAAGTCATGGGCCAGGGCGTGGACTTACCTCCCTCTGTTACCACCTCTACACAAGAATTGGAGATTGTTTCATGACTTTGTGTACCTTGGCTCGACAATCTCTGATACTCTCTCCCTAGATGTCGAGCTGGATAAACACACTAGCAAACCGGCTACTACTTTCTCTAGACTCACAAAGAATATGGCTCAATAAGAAGCTGACGGCATATACCAAGATCCAGGTTTATAGAGCCTGTGTCCTGAGTACACTCCCGTACTGCAGTGAGTCGTGGACCCTTCATGCACGGCAGGAGAGGAAGCTGAACAGGAAAATATTCATCGATCCATAGTCATCGGGACTTAAAATTTGACAAATATGGATCAACAAATATTTAACGAATCAGCTATTTTTGTTAAAAAAACCGATCTGTTTTTATATTCGTCTCCATCTCTAATTCTAACCTTTAGAGCAGTGGCTCCTAACCTTGGTTCCCCAGATGTTTTTGGACTACAACTTCCAGAAATCCGGGCCACCACACTTAGTGGTGAAGCCTTCGAGATGTTTTTGGACTACAACTTCCACAATTGGTGGTGAAGCCTTCAGAGTTTTAATCCAAGAACGTCTGGGGACTCAATGTTGGAACCCCTCCTTTAAGGTATACAATTTTAGATTAACAGCTGTACTTGCCCCCAAACTTAACCTGTTACATAATATAATTTTTCCGCTTTCAGAAATCAAATACAGCACCAGTGGGATAAAATTTTGAGACTAAAAATTCCAAAGCCTTCCAATCTACTATCACTTCTAATCACTTCTGGAAATAAAACACAGTGCAAAGGGAAAGGCAGGGGAAAGTAACTAGCATGGGAATAGATGGCATTTGATGAAGAAGTTCCATCCATTCTGTAAATTAAAGGTGACCTGCAAACCATTTTGGCAAAGTTTTGTCAGCTTTAAATATATATGCTGAATGACCACGTTTATCCAGGCTAATACAGGAGAGATACTCAAACTTGGGACTTCAAGTCCCAAGGCCAAATGGAACAGGATAATAAAACAATGACAAAAACCTATTTATTTGATAGAGTCACTTACCTGACCCCTGTAAGGCTGGCTCCATGCTCCAGCAGGATCCTGGGTGATGTGACATCACCATGATGGGGTGTTACATCGGAGCAGGAGCCTAGTGGGGGACTGGACATCAGGGGACCTAAGGGGAAAAGATAGTTAAGTGTCTGGGCTGTGTGCTGAATGGCCCGTTTAGTTTAGCCTGTGGGAATTCAGCACAAGCAGCCCCTGTTGCTATAGTTTTGTCAGACTGATTTGCAGATCACCTTTATTACAACCTGCCAACTACACTTTCCCAGCACAAGAAGCATCTTGCCTTAGAAATGTTTGATCCAGGCAACATTGCTAAAATGTTTTTGTAAACAACTACCCTCAAAGTACCTATACTCCTTGCACTGAAAAAAAAATTCTAATTCACCTGCAAGTTCCACATTAACCAACTCTCCAGTAAAAGCTGAGACATGTGACAGACCTAGTCAGAAATTCAGTGGCAGATACTGATGATTTCCATAGTCTTTTTGGTAGCTGCAAGGTACTGAGAAAAAGTAATTTCTAGCTTTGAAATATACTGTCAACAAAGTACCACAATTCAAAATAAAAAATCTGAATGTGACAGAAGCAACCAAGGTCCTATACAGATAAAATGAAGGAGGTGATTAGCTCTTGTAATATTCTTTTATTTCCAGGAACTGTGAATGGAAAGGATTTAATTTTGATCAAAGGCACCAGAAAAGAGGGAGTTTATCTTCCACCAACCCTCACCCCAGAGCTGTTCTTGTTTTAATCACATGCATCTGGAAGGTATATTCCTCTCAGCTTAAAACAAACAGAGAGATCATTATATATAAAATCCTTCTGATCTGTGGTGTCCTCCATTTAACTGGAATAATAACATCTGATAGATGCAGAAGAATTCAGCATTAATAAAGATTACCAGTTTATGGTACTGTATAGTTGAAGATTAGGAGAGATGAAGTATTTCTTTACTGAGCACATAATTAAACTGAATAGTTCAGTATAACCTGGACTAATCATCACCAGCTTTGGCAACTTTAAAGCAGGATTAAACAAATTAATGGAGCCTAGGGCCATCAACAGCTTCTGCTAATTTCATCTCCATATTACCTCCCACATCAGAGATATCTTTGAATATTAGTTACGGGAGAGACCAAAAACTTCAGGTAACTCAGGAAACATTGCACTCATCTTCTGCTTGTGCGATTCCTAGAAGCATCCGACTAAGGAAACAGAAACTAGACTACAGTGGGGTCTTGACTTGCAAACGGCCTGAGTTGCGTACTTTTTGAGTTGCGTACTTCTCCGTCCGCAAACATCCATTTTGACTTGCGAACGGAGAATTGACGTACAAACCAAATAGTGGAGGGAAAAGGGGCCAGAGAGGCGGGGAAAGCGGGAAATTCAAACTGCTGTCGTTCGTCGACAGCGAAAGCCGAGAGAGCTGGGCGCTCGCGCCGAGAGAGCCGGGCGCTCGCACCGAGCGCCAGCTATAGAGAGACCATGGGGCGCTCCTCCTACCGGGCGGGCTACTGCCGGGTGCTGTGCTTGCCGTCGCCTTCTTCTTCTTCTGAGGGCCACCCTGCCGCCAGACTGAAGGAAGGAAGGAGGCGTGTTGGGAGACGAGGCATGGCTGACCTGCTCCGCAGGACTCTCTCCAAGCTGCGGGGCAGGCGCTCGCAGCGCGGGGCCGCCTCCTCCGAGGAAGCCAGAGACGGAGCGGGAGGCGCCCTTCGAAGAAAACCCCCACGGAGCCTCCACTTCCAAGGCAATGGGGCGGCTACAGGGGTAGTGCCGTGGGTGCTGCTGGACGGCCGGCAGGCCGCTGGGGAGGAGCCGGGAGTGAGGCGGGAGGTCGCCGCTTGGCCCACGCGAGGAAGGGCAGCAATCCTGCCTGGCGAAAGGGTGCCCGGAGGAGCCGGCCCTTGCCCTCCCAGGAGCGGCGAGGAAGGGTCCCCGCAGCATCCGCCCAGCCCCTGGGGGCTTCGGGCACCTCCACCGGCCGAGCTCTGTTCCTCCCCCTCCTTTGCCCCGAGAGGGGCGGGATCAGGATCTGCTGCCCTGGAGCAAGGAGGCGGGAGTGAAGACGAGAGCCTGCTGCCCGGCTGGGGCTGCCGAGGAGCGTCCAGGGTGCACGAAGAGGCTCCGGGAAGGCCAGGAGGCAGCGCGGGCGCCATCCCCGCCCCCTGCGCGCCTTCCTTCGGGGATGCCGAGGGCCGCGGGAGCAGCTCGGCTTCCCCATGCGAGGTTGCTCTCCGGTGCCTCCCCTTCTCCTCCCGCCAAGGTCACCGCCAACGCCGGGACCTGTGGGCCCCTTCTGGGCCGAGCGTAGGGACTCGCAGGTACGTAATGAATGCCCTGACTGACGGCACCCCTTCCCTTCCCTTCCTCAGGGTCCCGCGCCACTTCCCATTAGTTTCTATAGACGGAAAACAGCAGATACGAATCAAATGGTTTTCAGTGCATTTCTATGGGAAATGCAGAATTGACCTGCAAACTTTTTGACTTGCGAACCGCCTTCCAATACGGATTAAGTTCGCAAGTCAAGACCCCACTGTATCCTCTGGTTTGATCCAGTATAAGTTCGACTTATGTAGACACTCACAGAACTATGATTTGTATTTTGAAACCGGTTACAACTACTTAAAGATTTGGTTCAGGAGAGAGGGTTATATAATCACTTGAAAAAACACTGCTTCTGAATGTACCAGCTAAAAAAAAAAAATCACCTCAGCCATACACACCCCAACCCCCATGCACATCTTGAACTTCACTGAGTTCAAGATGTGCATGATATCCAATGATCTACACTGCAATATTAAATCTCATTACCATATCTCTCAAGTTTTAATAAAACTAGGCTAGTGATTAAACAATTACCGGTAATTTATCTAATCAGGCACATTAAGTCTGTCTTCCAGGTGACCAGGCACGCTAGTTTTTGGGTAAAAAATGGCAAAGTTACTCTCTGTAGTCAATGTACTGGAAGGTTAGCAACTTGTGTATGTGTGGATTTATTTGAAATATTGCATTAGAACACATTCAATACAGATTTCACTGAAAGGGCAATTGAAGAGATTAAGAGCAGTATGGACTTATTTGGTGTTTTAATGGTGCCAATTTCACAATGCCTTCTGTGTTGCTCTTACTGGCTTGTTTGAAAGTTAGATAGCCAAATGCACAACAAAAAGACACATTTCAGCCAGCAGTACAACCAATTTTGTGTGCCATCAAAGTTCACAAGTAAAGGTAGTGGATTTGTGTTTCTGGATTACAACACCAAGGATTCCCCAGGGAGCATCTAAATATACTTCTGTCCATTACATGATGTAGCAGTTTTTCAGATACACTCTCCATTAATCTTTCCAATAAATAAATGCTGAAGCAGACTTGGTGCAATGTGACCTAGGCCATCATCACAGAAATAGTTTCATTAAGCAGAAGAGAAGACAAAGTACAAAGTTGGCTTTACATGGTATTTCCCATGACACATAAAAGTACAGAAGTCATAGGTCTTTCTACATGACAATATTCAGCAACCAATGCCTACAGACTTTCTGAGAAAAGAAACAGAAGAACGGGTAGAGATGCAGCTCATGTTGTGGACAAGATACGAAGTCTAAGTTTAACCTCAACAAATTCTCCATGCATGATTCATACAATATTATTTTAATATCTGCTAAGTATCTACTGGCATCTCGTTTTATCTAAGAAAACAGATCTTGTAAAAATGGCAAATCAGAAATAACCACAACAGCATGGAGTGAATTATTTAGGAGGTAAAGAAGGTACCTTATTTCAAGGTAAGAAACACTAGAATGCTCTTAATGTCATAAGACTACAAATCAAGTAACACGTAGCCCATTTGTCCAATCACTATTCTGTTCTGGAGATGGTTACTCACACAAAGATGTTGTCCTTTGGCATAATATGACTTAAGCCTTCATCCATTTGGAAAATTTTGTGAAATCTGTGATTATAAACATCCGTCACTACCATCTGAAATGGCAAACAGTTGGAATTGGAAGTTAGTCACAGGCACAAAAACCTTTGACCTCATTAGGTGTACCTGACCAGCTGAAACTGGTACTGTACAAAGAAGGCTTCTGCTTCTTTCAGAGATACTGCCCTTTGTTGGATTTGGTCACTACCTTCTCTTACCTCCCTTAAGTTGGTCTGTTCCCTATTCAATCTGGGTTTACAGAGAAGAAACTGAAATTGATGTAGATTAGCAAAACCAGTGCAGAACAGGGGAAACACAACTAACAAGAACAGGATTTTTCCTTTTCACTGCTATACTCAAGTCTCCTGCTTTTCTTAAAACATCTCAGCAGCTCCTAAATTCTACAAGACACTTTAAAATTCTATTGAAATTTATATAGCCACTTTAATCTCCCATAGTAACTGTGGAGTAGCAGTAGTTTTGTTGTTGTTGTGTTGTTGCTTTTTAAAAATGTCACCTCTCAAATAGATGTGTCATAAAAAAGTAACATTTCTGAAACAAAGTAAGCATTTTGCTGCTGGTCCTGAAAGATTAAATGTTACAGCAAAGGTTTTCACTAGACCAACTTCTACTGGTGCAGAGAAGACTTCTGAGTGTTAATAACACGGTATTCTGGTTAACAAGTTCAGATAAAACAATTTCCCACTAAATATTTTTAAACCATAAGCATCTACCTAATTATTGGCTAGTATCCTGTTGCACAGCTCTGCCTAAACACTGGAAATGAGGTAACTGATAACAGCAGACTGCTACTAACAAATTCTTTTTTTACATTAGGGTATATGCAACTTCATTTCTCTGTGTGCAAGTTATGCACACCAAGCAAAAGGAAAAAGAAATCCATAATCAACAGTCATTTGCCACAAATGATTACATCATTGCTGTTGTCCAAGCAGAGGTTTACGACAAGATACTAGCCAACAGAATGTTAAAAAACCGAGGTCTCAATTCAACCAATCCACTTCCAGGGATATCTTTCAAACTTATCACTATATGTCTTTTGATTTTAGGACATTTACAGCACAGAAAAGGTTAAAAAAGCAATATACTGTACTGATAAGCTGTTCTCACCAGAAAGTTCATCCTTAGTTGGACTGTTTAGTACTATCTAAATTTCAGGAAGCACAAATACATTAATATGCAGAGAGCAGAATCTAATTTTCCAGTAATCTGTCTGCAGTTAATGTACAAATCTGAGAATGTATGTGATAACACAAATGAGACTGCAGCAATGCATTTACTAAATATAACAAATAATTTTTTTTCATGCTGCCCAACAACATTCTGCCCAAGCTTCTAAGGTCTTGGTGAAAGAACCACCACCATAACTATTCTCAGAAAACCTGAAAGGTATACAATATTAAGTCACCTTCTTATAGTACGTCTTGCACTTAAAAAAAAATTAAAGTAATTTCCATTTAGGAATCTAAGGTCTTGGTGAAAGAACCACCACCATAACTATTCTCAGAAAACCTGAAAGGTATACAATATTAAGTCACCTTCTTATAGTACGTCTTGCACTTTTAAAAAAATTAAAGTAATTTCCATCTAGGAGCATTTTTTCACACTAGATGTTACTCATCAGTCATCATCCTTACATTTTCTGCAGGGATCCCAGAGAGTTTTGAAAGTGCATCACACAAGTCAGATATGCCTCCCATCATTGGGACCACAACCCGATACTGGAAATAAACAGAACATTAGACTTAAAATGAATAAAACAAATCTTGATTAGGGCACAACTTGTAAATAAAAGGATTTCTACTAGTAATCAGCTCTGACCATACAAGGGCACAGAATTCAAAACCCAATGCGTTTTCGCTTAAGTTACATATTCTTTTGTATGTACCATGACTGAAATCCTGTCGTTTATCATAGAAATTCACACTAGAGTAAATCCACTGAATTAGTGGGGATTTGGTGAGTCAATTCTTCCAGAAATTATGGTGATTCAAGTAAACTGCAACTAGAGTAGTCTTATTTCAAACAAGAGGACTTATGAAGGAAATTCTCATTAATTCACTAGGTCTAATCTTCTGTGACTTACTACATTAAGCAACAGGACTTCAGCTATTGTCTCCTTTGTTGCAGTAAGGATTAAAGAACGAGAAGGGAGTAAATGTTCAATAATCTAGTTTCAACATTTTGCTTATCAGTAATTTAATCTGGACTATACTGTAATTCTTCATAAGATATTTTTATGCACTCTATAGTCAATGGGGTCAATTATTTAAGCCTTCATTTCCAGAAAGCACACTGCCCAGATGATCCAGCAGAGAAACGTTAATGTCTCTTAAGGTGTCCTCTGCATACCCCCAGCTCAGTTTTCAGAACCAGAGCTCAGGAAAAAAAAAGCATCAAGGTATATGATAAGGAAGATACTGCTTCTGTAGGGGTAGACTCATTCTAGACCACAATTTACAATTAATTTGTCATCAATGTATCTTCTTTAGTACTGACAGCCATAGGAATATTTAGTTCATGAGTTTAAAACAAAGAAATATACTAGTTCTTTTTAGCTTTTTTCTTAAAATGTTAACACATTTAACATTTTAAGAAAAAGCCCAAAAAGAACTAGTACATTTCTTCTTTTGCAAATCCAGCCAGCCTAGGTTTTAGAACCAGGAAGCAAGCAGATTTCAAAAAGAAAATATCCATGCAACCAAGGCACAGTCATCATAGTTTTCCACAGTCTGCATTATTTGCACAAAAACTGTTCTCACAAATGTGTGGTAAGAGCATAACTCCAGCACATGTGTAGAGTGCAGATCCAAAATACAGACACAGTAACTTCCCTTATTTTATGACTCTTACAGTGCCAGATTAAGAGATTCAAAACAAACAGGGAGTAAGGAACCTGTTCTTTTTAACCATTCACAATTCTAAACCCCGATACATGTAGTGATCAAATGTGAAGCATGAGTACAGCTAACTAGTGCAAGTGTTGGAAATACTGTAAGGGGAAAACTGAGTGGTGCAGAAAAGTGAAAAAAATGTAACTGAACAGGTCAGAAAATGTAATCTCATATAATGATTATAATAATTGAATTGGAAGGGGTGTATAAGGCCACAGAGGAATCCAAATCAAAGCAGATCTGATAGATGGTTGTCCAATTTTCTCTTGAATGCTTCCAGCATTGGAGTGCTCACCATCCCCATTGGTTTCACTGTTGTACTGCTCTAACAGTTAAGATTTTTTTCCTGATATTCAGCCAAAATCTGTTTTCATCGAACTTGAGTACATTATTATGTGTCCTCCAGTCTGGAATAATGGGAATAGACCCTGTTTCTCCTCCGCATAGCAATCTTTCAAGCATTTGAAGACTGCTGCTATCATATCTCCCCCCAACCCCTCTTCTCAAGCCTAAGCATGCCCAGTTCTTTCAAGTCGTTCCTAACAGGGCTTCGGTTTCAGTCCCTTTATCATCCCTGACATTCTCCTTTGAACTTGCTCATTTCTTAAAGTGTGCTGTCCAGAAATTGACACAATAGTCAAGATGAGGCCTAACCAGTGCCAAACAGAAGGGAACTAGTACTTCACAGGATTTGGAGACTATATGTCTGGCAATATAAAATATCATTTACCTTTTTTTGCAGTGGCATCATACTATTGGCTCATATTCAGATTGTGATCTACAACAATTTCAAGATTGTTCTCACATGTAGAACTACTGAGCCAAGTATCCCCAATCTTGTAACTGTGTATTTGGGGTTTTCCCTAGATGTAGAACCTTGCATGTATCCAGGTTAAATTTTATTCTGTTGTTCTTAACCCAATGCTCAAGCCTATCATCTTTTTGAATTTTGTTCCTGTCTTCCAAGGTATTAGCTATTCTACTCAATTTTGTGTCATCTACTGATCTGACAAGCATTCCTTCATCCAAGTCACTAATAAAAATGTTGAAGAGCACTCAGTCCAGGATCGAGTCTTGTGGTACCTCATTTGTTACCTGCTCCCAGTTTGAGAAGGAGCCATTGATAAGCACTCTCTGAGTACAAGTCTATAACCAACTGTGTATCCAACCTAACAGCTGATCTATCCAACCTATGCCTAGTTAGCTTATCAGATTACCATGTGGCACTCATGATTTAGAACAAGCAGCCTCTTGCAAGCTGACAGAACACAGAACGGCTGGATTCTACAGTCACAAGAACTGTATAAAGAGGATTTGTTGTTCATCTGGAAAACATGCCAGATTGGGGATGCAACTTTAGAATGACAAAAGAACACTTCAATTCCTTCAAAAGAGATGCAATAAGAATAAGGCACATGCCAATCACACCACGAATAGCATGATTACTTTTCATTTCTTTTAAAGGTAAAAGAACATGCAGATCATATGATGGATTACAGAAAACCTGTAGTAAAGTTGGCTGTTTCTTCCACAGGGGATGATCTCATTGGCGAAGCCTGACAAAATAGCTCTACTTACTTGTGAAGGCTTGCGCTGAGGATCTGCAAAAACCAAAAACACTTCCATCATTCGATCTTTTTTCATGGGCAACGGAAGGGTTAAGTAGCAAAAAGGGTCAAAAGTCACTGAAATTTTAGAACATTTGGGGCAGACTAATGTGGACTTGAAGAGGCCATGAAAAATATCTACAATGATAGAGTCATTCCGTAATTGATGGTTCTCCCAGGCTTCTTTTGCTACCACCTAGAAAAAGAAAATAGTTTACTGAGATTCAGAAACAAAGTATTATGCTGAGCAGTTGAATTAAAATGTAAATTCTGCTGCCACTGTTTTCATACCTTTTTTGCAGAAAAGATAAAATATTTCTAAGACTAGAAAGGACATGTGACAAGACAATGTGACAGACAGACTACAACCTAGAAAGTCCTGCCTAACTTGTAACTGATGTACATGAAAACATGTATTCTCCTATATTAGCCTCCCTGAAATTTAAGATACATACTTGGGGCAGGCCCTTCTGTCCTTGCAACAGAGTTTTGGGGCCCTTGTCAAGGAAGGCCTAGCTAGCCCCTTCTCCAATGGACTTCCATCAGCAGGCAAAGCCATTGCTTTAAATTCTGTTGTTTAGTACATCACACTAGAGTAGACCCCTGAATCAGTGGGGATTTGATAAGTTAATATTTCTGTAAGTACCGATTCAAATGGGTTACAATTTACTTTAGTGTAGTACGCTCTGATGAAACTTATGGAAGAGCTGACTCAGTAAATCCCCACTGAATCAGCAGGCTTACTGTAGTTATGCAACAGGGTTTCTAACATTATTTATACATGACTTTAACCTGTAAGCTGATTTGTAAATAACATTATACAGTAATTGGTTTTAGCTACTTTTAAATTATGCTTCCCCTGGCATTTACTTATCATGGGTTTTGTTTTTATATATATTTTTACTGCTGTTTTAATTTTAATATAATTGATTCTATTTATGCTGTTTTTACCATTTGTATAGCATATAATATGATATATGTCTTATCTGTGGGTGTGAATATTGGTCACTAGGATTTATAGATTATTCTTGTGGCAAGCCACCTAGAGTAGTGTTTAGAGCTAAGTCAAACAGTCTATAAATGCCTGAAACAAACAAACAAATGTACATTTTATTCATAATTTTACCTTACAACTTGACAAAGTGCAGCCCTCCAGATGTTTGGAAAGCCATTCTTTGCTCCCCCTTCTTTTACTGAGGTCTTCAAGAAGACAACAGTCAACTTACAGAAAGAAAACTCAGTGGGTCTCTTTAAACATAGCTATGGTCAGCTTCAGGCTCTCTTGGATGAAACCGATGCCCTGGATCCATTACAGTTGGGCTTCAGGCCGCACCATGGCATGGAAATGGCATTGGTCACCCTGCTGGATGACCTACTTAAGGAGGCCAATGGGGGCAAAATGTCCTTGCTCGTACTCCTTGATATCTCAGCTGCCTTTGATACCGTCAACCATGGTATCCTCCTGGAGAGGCTCTCTGAGCTGAGGATTGGTGTCCTTGCTCTTGCTTGGCTCCAGTCCTCCTTAGAGAGGTATCCCCAGAGAGTCCAGGTTGGAGAGAATGTATCGGCCCCATGGTCCCTCAACTGTGGGGTTCCGAAGGGTTTGATCATCTTCCCAATGCTGTTTAACGTCTACATGAGGCCACTAGGAGAGGGTCATCTGAGGATGTGGAGCTTCCTGTCACCAATATGCTGATGACACCAAGCTCTACATCTCCTTTCTTCCATCTGCAGTGGGTGCCGTTCTGTCCCTTGAGCGCTGACTGGAGGCCGTCCTACAATGGATGCAGTTGAATGGACTGAGGTTGAACCCAGACAAGACAGAGGTCTTGCGGGTGGGTGCCCCTGATGTCAGTGATTTGGGGAACTCCCTCTCTTTGGGGGGGGGGGACAACTCTCACCACAAAGAATGTGGTTCACAGTCTTGGAGTCTATCTTGACCTGGCACTCATCATGGAAACCCAGGTAGCGTCTGTGGTTCGGTCCACCCACTTACATCTCCGGTGGATTGCCCAACTCTGTCCCTATCTAGACGCAGGGGCACTCACCATGTTGGTCCATGCACTTATAGTCTCAAGAATAGCCTACTGTAATGATCTCTACATGGGGCTTCCTTTGAGACTGATGCGGAAGCTGCAAACGGTTCAGAACATGGTGGCCAGGCTATTAATAGGGGTGAAAATATTCCACCATATATCCCCACCTTGGCCGCCTTACACTGGTTACCTATTCACTTCCACTTCGATTTCAAGGTGATGACTATTACATACAAAGCCCTAAACAGTTTAGGCCCTCGATACTTGGCAGAGTGCCTTCTTCTGCCTAGTTCTGCCCGAATCACCCATTCCCGTCAGGCTGAGCGGCTAAGGTGCCTAATGCAAAGAGAGGTCCAAAAGGAAAAAACAAGAAACCGGGCCTTCTTGTCAGTGGCCCCTTGTCTCTGGGACAATTTACCTGCAGAGGTCCGCCTGGCCCCCTCAATGAGGGCCTTTAAGTCCAATTTGAAGATACAGCTATACAGACAGGCCTTCCCTACATCCATCACCTAACCTATTTCTTTTTTTTCCATTTTGGATTCTGCTATTAATTTGGGTTGTATCTTTAGTTCCTTTATACCTTCTCAATTTATTTTTATATTTTGTGTAAACTGCCAGACATGTTTTAGATGGGTGGTATATAAGTTTAAACAAACAAACAGATATCAGGACTAACATATCAGTAAGAAAAACAGACAAGGAAGGTATATGCATAAGAATAATTGTTCTCCTTTCTTTTGTTATTGTTTCACATTACAGTTTGACTTCAAGAAAAAAAAACTTTATTTAGATCATACCGAATCAGGTCTGCCATTAGCATCCTTCAACTCCAAGTAGGGTTTCTTCTTTACTCTGTTTAGATCCTCATGTAAACCATCGAGAAGGAAGGAGAGAAGCTCCTGAGAATCTTGCTGCTGGTACCCTGAAAACTGAGGAGCAAACCGACCAACCTGGGTCTAAAATTAAAAATGGAAAATTAGAATTTGCTAAATGGAAAATGAAAGACACTCCTAACATTTTACTTGCATTTTCTACAAGACATTAACAAAAATGTATAGAATATACCGTATTTTTCCATTTATAAGATGACCCAATGTATAAGACACCCCCCCTTTTCTAACCCCAAATTTGAAAATCTGATTCCTGCTTTTCGCTTCCTTTTCCTAAGCCATGAGGCTTAGCAAAAGGAAGGGAAAACTAGGGATCAAAGGGCTACATGATCACTAAGCTTGCAACCAGCAGCGGTGGAGGCAGCATCAGCAGAAGGGCTCGGCCGCCTCTTAGTGCTGCCCATTGACTGCTGCTACCACTGCCTGATCACAAGGAGACGATCGCTGGAGGGGGCGATTGGGTGGGGGCAGCAGCAGCAGTCAATGGGCAGCTGCGAGAGGTGGCTGAGCCTGGCTGCTTCTTTGTCTCCGTCTCCACCTCCTGCTGCTGCCTTCTGTGTATAAAACGACCCTGAATTTTTTCTCTAATTATTTTAGGAAAAAGTGTTGTTTTATACATGGAAAAAGTCCATAAGATTTCGAACACATGGGCTAGTATGGAAAAACATATTCTAGACAACCATCTAATAAGAAGTGTACAACCTAAAAACCAATGCCCAAGATGATGGAGAGGACAAAGTGATGGAGTAGGACTCAGGAGACTTGTGCTTGAAGCTGTGTGTAGCCATGAAAACTCACCAGTGTGTGGGAGGGTGTAGCACTGGTAGAGTCACCCCGGTGGGGGCAGCAGTAGCAGTCAATGGGCAGCTGCGAGAGGTGCTGAGCCTGGCTGCTTCTTTGTCTCCGTCTCCACCTCCTGCTGCTACCTTCTGTGTATAAAACGACCCTGAATTTTTTCTCTAATTATTTTAGGAAAAAGTGTTGTTTTATACATGGAAAAAGTCCATAAGATTTCGAACACATGGGCTAGTATGGAAAAACATATTCTAGACAACCATCTAATAAGAAGTGTACAACCTAAAAACCAATGCCCAAGATGATGGAGAGGACAAAGTGATGGAGTAGGACTCAGGAGACTTGTGCTTGAAGCTGTGTGTAGCCATGAAAACTCACCAGTGTGTGGGAGGGTGTAGCACTGGTAGAGTCACCCCTTAAACTTCTCACTAATCTTGAAAGCTGTATTAGCGTCAATAAACTGGTTCTGACAACTTATAACATATATAACAATCTAAAACCTAATTGAGTGTTGAAGTAACAATTTGAAGAACAGGACATTATAGGGGTTGTACGGTACTACCACATATACTCTAATATCTGAACCAAATTTATGAAGATTATTATTTATTTTTATACCTCAAATATACTGGCCAGAATCAAACTGGAATTTGTGTAGAGTCTGCATAACCTGTAGTGCCTACTTGATGAGATGTTGGGAAGCATTTTGGTTGTGCCACTGGGTGCATATACTGGCATCTCGAAAGTTAGCTGCAGCAAGTTACACAAAGCTTACACAAACACTAATAAAAATGTGGCCACTTAATAAAAATATTTGCTAAAACGTTAACAATGACAAAAAGCTGATAAAGTGAAGGAAAAAAAACTGTAATTGGGGCCTGTTTCTAAAGAATTCAATGCATGACTTATGCTAGGAAACAGACAGAAATGTTTGTCCTTGCCGATTCTGTGGAGCTCTCAATGGATTCTGATACCATTAATCATGGCTTTCTTATAGACTCTGTAGCTGAGAGTAGGAAATACTACTTTGCAATGTTTTGAGTTATTTCTGGAGATGATATCAGAACCTGATGTTGGAAGACTATGACTCAATACTTCGGCTTATGATCTCCTAAAGGTTTCTGGCCTCTTATTCATGTTAATTTATATCTACATGAAACTGTTGGTGGCTTTGGAGTCCAGCATTACCAATATGAAGCTCTGGTCTCACTTCCAACACAATCCAGGGAATATACAAAAACAATTCCACAGGGCGGAGTGCAACTCACAAAGCTCTGAATGGACTGGAAAAAAGACTGCCTGGAAAACGTTCTTTCACACATGGCTGTCCAAGTACTGAAACCCTCCCCAAAATGTACATACCATCAACATCTGACATATTTTGGCAGGAATTCAAATAAATCTTCACATCCACTGCGTTCACGCTCCAGAATGACACTCAGGTATTACCTCATTGAGGGACTTCCACTGACTGAAAAACTCCCACTCCTTATTTACACAGGCATTTACCCTACTGGACTGATCTGATCAATTTCTCTGGTGAGACGGTTCCAATTGCATTTACAATTCAATTTTGTTTTTAACTGGATGTCCTGTATAGCAGGGAGACTTGTGGCACAGTGGCTAAATTGCAGTACTGCAGGCAAAACTCTGCACACGATCTGGGTTCAATCTCAGGTAGCCGGCTCAAGGTTCATTCAGCCTTTCATCCTTCGAAAGTCAGTAAATTGAGTAACTAGTTTGCTGGGAGGGCAATGTGTATCCTGCATAACTAAACTGTAAACTGCCCAGAGAGTGTTTTAAGTGCTATGGGGCAGTATATAAGCAGCATGCTTTGCTTTCTGAATTTTTTAAAACTGCTTCTGTATGAATCCAGAGTGATATTTTTTCTAACTGAGAATTATTTCTTTAAGTCCTGATGCTGTTCTTAGTCACTCTGGGCACTTTTAAAATTGAAAACTGGAATAATAATGTAACAAATACTAATCAACACACATTCCCATCTGTGCAGTTATATGTGTGATACCAGATGTGCTAATAATGTACATGCATTTGTTTAAGGAATGACAAAGTGATTTTAAGGATTACATCTATCATCTCTTTTAATCAATTCAAAACAACTCAGTCTACAAATTACTTTAGGCTGGTAATGCCTAACCATAAATCTTAATTAAACTACAAATAAATTTGTAAAGCTTTAAAAGCCACAATGATTTAAAGAGAATGTGAAAGCTTTTAAATGTATAACATTTGGTGAAGTAAGTAGGTCATGTTGTTTTCAACATGCTCAGAATTCTTTTAAATTCACCCTAACTTTTTTTTAGCAGAACTTAAATAAAATATCTTCTTTAAATAGCTTCCAAAGCTTTATGCAGTAAAACATGACACCAAGAATGCTTTATCTATATGACTGCAACAGAAAATACTTACTTTAAACATGCGGGGGGCCACATGAGAATGTCTCCCAGACCACATCTGTTTGATGAGGTCTGCATATGCTTCTGCAATTTCTCCTCTCATTCCTAGAGGATTCTCATGATTTATTTCAGCTTCGTACCGATCTTCCAAGAAGTATTCCGTTAATAGGGGAGTGTTACTCAAACACTGAAAGAACATTTGCATAAAAGCACTGTGTGAAAAGGAAAGTCTTCCAAACACCCAATGCCAAATTAAAAAGTGTTAAAGTCAACAGAATCTCCATTTTCAGAATTCTGTTGCATGTTAATTTTACAGAATCCTATTAAAATCCCATTCTGTAGCATTTCATTCTTTTCTGCCTAAGGTTTTAATTAAATAGAGATGGGAACAAAAATGTTTTCAATTTTTTTTTAACTCAGCTCTGTGTGTACTTTTCCAGGAAGGCAATTCTGAAGGTATGGGTCAAATAAAGAAAATGTTCTGCTCTTCCATCTTAACACTCTAATCAGAAGGCCAGAGTGTAGGGCCTACTTTCTTTAAGGGAAACACAGAGCTGTAATTCAGTGGGAGATCAATGCTATCCATGCAGAAATTCAAAGATTCAATCCCTGGTAACCCTAGGTAGAACTGGGAAAGAACCATCTGAAGTCCTTGACAGTGGACAGTCAGTATATACAAATCTGAGTGATATGGATCAAACTTCCTATATTTATATTCTCCAAAACATATGCTTACATTGGCCTGAGTCTGGGAAGGTATAAAACTGAGCCAAACTAGGTTTTGGAGCAGACACTACCAGTTCTTTACCTGCAATGCTGAGTTCATGAAACATGTATTTCCTAAGTTACTGAGCCCACAGAGGCCTGGTTGTGACTGGGGAGGACTCTCCCTGCTGTTGTAGAAGTTGTAAGACAAGTTAGAACCTCTGAAAAAGAAGAGGCACCAAGTAAGATATCAAAGTGCAGCACATTTTAGTTACCAAAGAAATGTCTATGTGGACAAAAATTAATTTAGAGTAAAGAATGGCTTTTATGAGCATTCACTTCTAATTTAAAAGAGTACAGGTTGAAAAACAAGTTCAAACCCACTGCCACCCTATAAGAACTATGACCAGCTTTTCATTCATAGAATGGAAATTCTACTTCTTTTGTCCTGCTTGCAAGTTGTCGGTCCTTCAGCTCCATTATGTGCTCTTCAGGATCTCCACAAATTGCCCCATATAGAATGTTGAAGAGTCACAGAGAAGATGCAAGGAGACAGAGAATGCACTCACTGATACATATTACCCTCTTGATGGATGGGGTTTACTGGATACAACTTGATCTCTCAGTATCTCATTTATCCTTTTTGGTTTCTGAATATCAGCAGTTATGTCATAACAACAATGCCTTCTCCATTGTTACAAATTACACCAGAAACAGTCATGTCATACCTATAACTAGCTTTTATTTTTCATAAGCTTTTGTGTGTCTAAGCAGAGATTAATGGAGTGGTTGTGTCTCTGGAAAGAGTACAAAACTCTTGGCAAGGAGAAATGTTGGCAGTCTTATAGCTGCTACACAACTATTTCTAGTAGAAATTGTAACAATGTTACAGTACATAGTTTCCTTTTTCCTTTCAACATTTACTACTACTATATTTATTATTATTATTTTCCCTCTCCCATACATTGTGGTCTTCAAGAATGATACGTACTTCCCTGCAACTTTTGTCAGTTTCTGTGTAACAAAGGACTCTCTTGGAAAAATAGGCAGAATAGGTATGTCTTAGCAGAACACCACCTGACAAAGAAATGCTAGGTGATAAGACTGAAGCTACAATAATTTAACACACACTCTTTTACATATGTCTGTGAGTATCACACACACACACAGAGAGAGAGAGAGAGAGAGAGAGAAAGAGAGAGAGAGAGACATAGATGGTTTGCGAACAGCAGAGGCATAACTTCCTCCAGGGCAAAACCTTAGTTAATAAAGGAGAGAATGTATAAAGGTATTCAAAGAAGCAAGCTTTATAAAGAACAATAGACACATTCTTGCTCTTACCCTTTCCCATGACTGGAGTTCAAACCATATGAGTTATTGCTGTCACCATTTGTAATGGTTGATGAGACAACTACTGTGGAGCAAGAGCTTGCTGATGATTTTGAAGAGGTAGATAGACTTCTGCTGATTGCACTACTTGATCTGAGAGAGATAAGGAGTAGTAGTGTTCAGTTTTGCTTCTTTTTAATCCTGAGATACTAGAATTGGTTTTTTAACAGCATGCATAATACCAACCTCAGTAGTTCTGGGTTTTTTTACACACAGAAGAAATGACAGGTATCCATCAATGAGATATACTGTTTATGATACAGTGTGCACATTAGGTTTCAGTTAATTCTGTATGAAGTCTTCTACAGTGAAATGTCCATAAGAATTTGCACCATATTTAAGCAACACAATGTGGATTTCAGTACACAATTTCTAATATGGTAGAGCATGTGTACAAAGCATCAGAATTCAAATCCCAGCTGCCTTTGAAGAGGGCTCAGAAATTTCATTTGGTTCAAAATGCTGCAACCTGGCAGTTACAGGGAGCATATAATGACCATCTTAGTGTTATAATAGCTTCACTGGCTGGTATCCTGTTTCCAGACCCAATGGAAGTGCTAGCTGTGACCTAAAAACCCCTGCATGGCTTACAGTATGTCCAGGCTATCCAAAGAACTCTCCCCCCCCCCCCAATATGGGCCTCCTCTGCTCCTAAGATCTTCAGGGGAGCATCTTCTCACAGTTCCACTGCCGTCTCAAGCATGTCTGGTTGCAGAAAACCCTCCTGTGAAAAGCTAGGTTGGCCCCCTCCCTCTCTTATCTTTCCTGTGACTGGTGAAAGATCATCCCTTTTAGACAAGCTTTTAACAACAAATTGGACAGTGAACACTTTTGTCTTTGGATATTGTACATTATTATCTTTTATCTGTGTTTTCATGTTTTTAACTGCTTTAACTGTTTTAATATTATATGCTCCATTCCTTTTTAATGCAGCAACTTATGCTTTTAATTGGTTTATTTTTTTCATGATTTGTGAACTGTCTTAGGTCTCTTCACTAGGAGGAAAGTAGCATAAAAATGAAATAAAGTCGAATGAAATCAATCATGGCTAGAAAAGACCCAAACTTGAGAATCTTGTGTATGTCACATGCATAGTCCTGGTAAACAATAGTAAGCTATACAGAGCACTGCTCTTACATATATAGGCCCCAAATGATCCATGTTTATATTCATTTATTTATTTATTATGTCTACTCGGGGCGGCTATATAACATGATTCAAAATTAATTCTTCTATCACTTGTACAAAAAGCATTTTATACAATTTCCCATCTTAGAATGAAAAGCAGAAGTAAAAAGCAGCTTTTAAAATTGGGGTTATGGGACTAAACACTCAGGCTTATTTTATGTGGGGAGCACAATCCTGGAAGCACAATTAATCCACATTTGTAGAAGGCAATAGGAGCCACACTATGGCTGTGAGAGGCCACATGTGGCCCCCAAGCTAAGTAACTTCCACTTGTGATCTCCAAGAAAACTACGTAACTGGGGAAAGGAGGACATAATTAAAATGGGGAAAAAATCTGTCATTCTGGGCAATGCATTTTATTCAGTTACCTTGATGACAGACAAGATAACAAGGATGTACACAGATAAATTGTTGCAGATGCTTTGTGGCAGCAGGGTACTGCACCCTGAATGAAACTTGAAACAAAAGACTTCTTACAATGGAGCCAGTGCTACTGTTTTAAACAGGTCTGGCATAATCTATATAACTTATCCCTACAGAACAATTATGAATTGTTTGGGGAATTTAAAACTTCTCAGTTCTGTCCTGCAGCTTTTCCATTTCTCATGTAGGTTCTTTCACTATGTAGAAGCAGTGGGATTCCCAGAATGGAAGAAAGAAGTCTTTAATTATTTCCCTCTCCCCCCCCAAAAAAAAACCCCGCCTGCTGGTAATAGCATCCAGCAACTGTAATTTTTGGTAATTAAGGACTTCTCCTATTTGTCCTATGGCATCCATAGCTTCCATGCGATGTAAGAGATTACACAAGTTAGACAAGCTGTGGGATAGAATTAGAAAGATTATAATGACTGAAAATTACACTCTGCCAGTGACATCATCACTCTTTCACAAGAATCAGTTAAGCAACAGGATTACAAGATTTTAGCCAATAATGTTAAGCTTGCTGCATTCTTGATCAAATGGCCAAAATGCCACTAATAAATACAGTGATGCCCTGCTTGATGACGATAATCCGTTCCAGGAAAATCGCCGTTAAGCGAAACTGTCATCAAGCGGGAAAAAAAAACCATTGGAATGCATTGAAAACTGGTTAATGCATTCCAACGGGGAAATACCTCATTATCCAGCGAAGACTGTTCATAGAGAACCACCGATCAGCTGTTTAAAATTGCTGTCTTCAGAAGCAGGGGTCCGGAAAACAGCCATTTTGCAAAGGGAGGGAAGCCATTTTACGAAGGGAAGCCATTTTGCGGAGCCGGAAAAATTGTCCTTTTGTGAACAAATGGTTTGCAAAGCAGGCACCTAATCGACGTCAAGTGAAAAAACCCCATAGGAACCATTGTTTTGCGACCGCTATAGCGATCGCAAAAAACTCAACGTAAAGCAATTTCGTCGTCTAACGGGGTCGTTGTCAAGCGGGGCACCACTGTACAATCTTTCATAAGTAATGTTTAGGAAGCATTATTAGTTACGCTTTTGACTGTTAAATTGTTACGCTATGGCCTCTGCAGAGAATGTATGTGTGTCCCTCAAAAGAGAAGTACCCACATGCCGCCTTTAAAGATTGACTCTATAACCAATCATTCCCATATTTGGACTTTAGACGCCATTGCATAAAGTATAGCAGGCATTAAGTATCAATTCAGCTCCCTCTATCACATAGCTTTTCATGCCAATATAACCAGTTTTCTATGCCAACCACCATCTCCATGGGACTGTTATTTAACAGATATTACAGCACCAACCATTTCAAGCTACTGTTTTACTTGAAAATAAAATCTGGCACATGATAAATATTGTGACTTTTGATTACTATACTAGAGCTACAGTTTTGAGCCGTTACCTTTTACTTTATGGAAAGGTAAGATAAAACTATATTGCAAACTCCTTGCAATAATTAAAATATATCTTATTTGTTTTAAAGTTGCAAAAAATCCATAATAGCCACACTGTGTTGATACCAGAAAAAGAGAGATAAAGCCACTTTAGATTCTACATACATTTAATGATGTAACTTTCTTGGCACCATAAGAAAAAGTGTGTGTATGTGTTTAAATACATTCAGCTGAACACAGATGGATAGAGCCACAACAGCAATTAATGTTGAGCAGAATGGATTTACTCTGTCATAACAGAATTGCTGCTACCAGGCATTATGCAAGTTCATTACTCTCTATTTAAAGCACTGATCTGCAAACACATCCTAGCTCCGTTACAGCTACGTACCACTGTAAGAACAAGTACAAGTTTTGTTTCCCTTTCCTTCCAGTTCTATGTGGTACAGTTTATACAACACATAAAACAAAATATTTTAAATTGCCACCGAAATGCTCTGCTTCTGGCAAATGGGTCCTGCAATGTTCAAAAGATCCTCCCCTTATATCTCAGCATATTCTGTGTCCAGCACATTCAGAATCCCCTGTGTAGCATTAACACTGATTAAGGTGTTAGTGGATTAGCAATACTGAATAGGCTCAGTTAAGAACGAAACTGTGCTTAAACTACTATGTTTAATAAAAAACTAAACTGATAATCTAGGTCTGTGAGTGGTATTCTGGTGGCATATTAACTGGGTATAATGTTTTGGACAGTGGGAAAACCCAGCCCCATAATCTTTTTCCCTGTCACCCCTAAGTATTTTTTATTATTATTATTATTATTATTATTATTATTATTATTATTATTATTATTATTATTATTATTATTATTATTATTATTATTAAACAAACAAAGCTGGTCAGCACATTTCTTACACTAGTTTTTCAAGTTACTGATTTGCTATCTCAAATTAAAAGTTGCCTCTAGAAAAACGTAAGTACTCATATAGTCTACTTTGTTTTTCAGTCTAGAGGCTCTTAAAACAGCTAACGATTTATAAAACAACCAACAATAACAAAACAGAGAAAACAAAAGAAGCTAGTAACAAGTTAAACAGCAATGAGACCCATTCCTAGAGCCAATCTGAGGCAGGGAGAAGGAAGGGATAAATGCTTACTTTGTTAGAGGAGATTGCCTGGGCCACGTACCATCTTCATTCTTTACTTCTATTAACACCACCTGAAAATGAAAGGAAAAATAATAAAACTAGGCAGGGGCAATGTTATTTCTTGGACCATCAGCACATTTCACAAAAACAAAAAACAATTCATTTTTGGGCAAAGATTCCACAACCCAATTCAGAACAATGTTTAATCCCAAGGCAAATACCTCAGGGGACATACTGAGGCTACAGATTGGCCAATATTTCAGCTAGCTTTGAAGGAACCTAAACAGAAAGGCTGCTAATGCTACTATCTGCAATTTTTGTAATCCCAGAATAGCTTTTCCATATCAATGCACAACTCACACAGGGCCATGACTAGCCCTCATATTTATGCTCCAATTCATACAGAAGGTCCATACTTGCATTTGCTACTAATATTCAAATTTACCAGTATCCACAGAAGGTTGGGAAATGGTTTGCGAATACATTACAGTTTGTCTCAGCTTCCAAAACATTTAGAGCATTCATATTATCCACGTTACTAGACTGCAATTTGGACAAGCCCTGTTGAAATCATTGACTATCTTTGTAGTGCTCACAAAAATCCTGTTGTGTAGCTCTACCTGCCAACAGCAATGATGAAAGGCTTACTTTGACATTTTTTAGGTCAAAATCATGTGCACCCTGAAATCACCCAGTTCTGCACGTGGAATGCATTACAGGATTTCAATTAACATAAATTAATGATGTTTTCTTAAATGAGTCTCAATCCAGTTCAGTCTTTCTGAAATAACTGCAATGTTTTGAAAGCCCATAGGGTGAGTAATACAGAATATAACTTTTAGAAGAAGAGCAGTCTCTTACCTGTCCCTGGTAGAGCCCCGCATCTTGTATAGTGCTGTCAAGTTTGCTCAGTTGCTCATAAGTATTACTCATGTATCTACTCCAGAGCCTAACTTCCTTTCCGTCAGGAATATCAAACAGCTTTCGCATCTCTTTTTCAATGGTAGCTGGGAAAGAGACAAAATTCTTATTTGCTATATTTCTGGGTAGTGATGGAAAGGAATGATTCTAAATGCAAAACCTGATTTAATTTCTACTGCAAAATAAGCCAGAAAATGAATGATTTGTGTTCATGACTATAATACTAAATGAAACAATATACACTGGCTTGCTATAAATTTAGTATCACTGTTTCCTTCAGTTGCAAAACAACGGATGAGCAACAGATTTAAATATATAAACCTTGATGCATAACTGTGTAGCTTGACATTAAGTAACACGTAAGCAACCATTTATTTAACATATAACCAAAGTAACCTGAAATTAGAAAAAAAACAAACCGGCCAAAATCCTATTCCTTTTTTTACAATGGTAATATAATTGACATAAATCTCAGTGGTATTTTGCTACAACTTAAGAAACCATGCTCTTGCATGCCAACTCACATGATTTGCAATAGCAAATACCTACACTGACATTTTAATGCGCTGCCAAGATTTATGTGGACTGTAGTATGCTGGCGGCAGTACCTGACAGGATTTGGCTATCACAGTATTGCTTAAATAGTCTGTACACACAATTCTTTGCAGAAAGAACAGCATAAGAAAGTCAAAGTAGCTTCCCATATTAGGGACAAATTATAAAAACAGAAATGAAGTACTACATTGCTTAGTAATTATCTATAAACATCAGGAAAACAGCCACATTTAACCATTTACAGGGAAAAGACTGTTACTTTCATTTAAATATTTTTTAAAAACCTAGAACTTTCTTCCCCAAACACGGCAAAACATTCTTGCTTCACTCAGTTCCCTAATAAACTGCTACAGAAATTAAGTTTTTTTTAAATTTTAAAACTAATGTTCATCTTATGCTTACAACCAAGCAATTACCAATCATAATCTAAAAACAAAGTCTGAAATCTTGTTCATAAAATACAACAAATTACTACATTTCTCCCTGATTTAAAAACAAACACAAGAAAAACCCTGCTGCCGTTTTCAGAGAGGAGGAGTGTGCAGATATTGGCTTGGTAAGTGTGTGCGCTGAACCCCTAAGAACTGCAGCTGGAACACTGTTTATCAGGAAGGAATGGATGAAAAGTTACAATTTGTTTTATGCTACCAACAGGATTTCAGCCAATATATACAAACATATTAGAAATAAGATATGAATACCATAAGTACATTCCAAATTACTTTCCTTATTTACTCTTTTAATTAAGACTATGTGTCAAATTGTTTCTTTTACCTGCAGTACACAAATGGAATACAAGCACATAAATGTTTTAAGAGAACATAAGGTTTTTGGAGCTATCTACTCACCAACGGTATCTGCTCTGCTGAAATAAGAGCTTAAGAGATTAGCAGAATCACTGTTTTGACAGAGCTTCAGTTCCAAAAGATAAACTTCCACTTTACAATGCTTCACAAACAGACCATATTCTACAACCTATTAAGAAAAACTTTCTTGTAAAACAGGTATAGGCAGTCAAACAGCTAATACTTTGCTGAAACATTCACAAACTAGAAAGGAAGGAGTCTTGCCTTAAAATAAGTATGCCTTAATTTCATAAATAGAAAAACGTTGCTTTAAAGAGTTTAACAAACAATAAGCAACATAAACACTTTGTTCCTTTAACTCTGTAACTGCCTGTGAATCTTCACATAATCCAATTACTGTATTTACCAATTCAAGTTTGTGTTCATTTGAAATAAGACCTGTCAGTTTTAACAGTAGTTTTATAAAATAAAAATGTTTTCTTTTTGAAAAATGTAAGCTAAATACAGTCTACAGTAGATCATTATTCTCCTTCAAGTCTATTCATTTAGAACAAAAGATAGGATTCAGACTCCAAGGCAAAGAGGCAGGCTTACTTACACCCCCTCTTCCCAAACAACAAAGCTGCTATGGAAAGTTGGGGAAATACTATGGTGCAAGAACTAGGAACCACCAATGCCTCAGCAGGTTGAACTTTCACATTAGCATGTGAACCAATTAATATATTTCAAATTTTATCACAACACAGGATTACCTTTAGATTCCACACACAAGTACATATTATAATCACTAAGGCAGTGGTGTTGGGGTTATAAAGGGAATTATTTCTCAAACTTTAAAGATATTTATGTTCTGACTTCCAAATATACATGTCTAAAACATTTTTCTATTGATCTGTAACTACATTTTATTCTAGCAGCACACTATGCAATGCTTCAGCTGAATGTGAAAAATGTTTAGAGCAGAAACTTAAATGAGGTTAAAAGGTCTTAGGTTCATTAGCTCCCCACCCTATGAGTTTTAACAGGGAGCACAGGTGTCTCTTGCCCTTGATTGCAGATATCTTGTCAACTGTGTGCAAATACAAAGAACAGCTATAGCTTCTTTTAGGTAAAGGTAAAGGTTCCCCTTGACAATTTTTGTCCAGTCGTGTTCAACTCTAGGGGGCGGTGCTCATCCCCGTTTCCAAGCCATTGAGCCAGTGTTTGTCCGAAGACAATCTTCCATGGTCACATGGCCGGTGTGACTTAGACACAGAACTCTGTTACCTTCCCACCGAGGTGGTCCCTATTTATCTACTCGCATTTTTACATGCTTTCGAACCGCTAGGTTGGCGGGAGCTCACTCTGTCACATGGATTCAATCTTACAGCTGAAGATCTACAGACATTACAGCACAGAGGCTTCTGCAGTGCCACCACGTCCCTATAGCTCCTTTTGGGAGAGCACAAATAGACCAAGCATGTGCAATATATATAACAGCCTAGAAAGCACGAAGCCTGCCCAAATCTAAATAAATAACAGTGTGTGCTTTTCTGGAGACAAACCTACAGACCTCAGTTATACTGATATCTGAGTACATAAGCATATGATTACATCAAAATTCACACAATTTTGATTACTTACTTTTCTCACAATGGGCTGTTGTCCCTCGATACATGCATACCAATTTACTAATTTATTCCAAGCTTCTGTAGGAACTAATACATAATCCAATTCATCAATAAGGTGCTCTTTCAACATCTGAGTTTCTGAATCTAAAAAGGGAAGTAAATATAGTTACAGAAGTCTTACAACTCTGCATGAAACCTTGAATAAAATTCTGCATATGCACTGATTCTTCAGAATAATAGCAAATTCAAAGTAAAAATATACAAACGAGTCTCTACTCAAACTGCTAATTTCAAACCTACAGTTCAATGCATTCCAATGGGGGGAAATTCACCAAAAATTAACGAAGAATCAGAACAAAGCCAAATTAATTCTGCAAAGGTTTTACAAGGTGCACTAACGATTCCAAGCATTTAAAAGAGTTTTTGAACATTTTAAGACACTTTTAAAATAGCAAAAACGGACATTGTTAAGCAAAACAGGGGACCCAAAATGCAATCGCTATGCGAAGCATGGTCCCGAAATCGCTAAGCGAAAATCGCCCATAGAGAACATTGTTAAATGATGTGGAAAATTGCTTAAAAAAACCATCGCTAAGCGAATTCTTTGTTAAACGAAGCAATCGCTAAGCGAGGCACCACTGTATATGGAAATAGGCAGGACTAGATGGCACTACAGTAAAGACAAAGCCTAGTCTGCGCTTCCTCAACCACACCTGCCACAAAAGAGAAGGTTCCTGTGGTGTTAAAGCAATACAGGAAGATAAAATCCTGAAGTCTACTGCATCTGAGAGAAACATATGAAAAGAGTTCTTCATCTGAGTTATCACTTTATCAAGATCAATCTGTGCTCCACATCTTAGCCTTCCATTTCACTAAGGAAACTGATGTTGAGTTGAAACTCAGTGGGAGAGGAAAAAATACAGGTACTCCAAAATCTAATACAGAAGCAGATATACTGACTGGCTGTCTTCCAGCTTCTGTCCATTAAAAAAAGAAAACCGGTCTCAGATCTAGGCATAGTTCCAGCCACATGAACAAACCACAAGTAAGAAAACAAGTAATAGGAAGCTGGTGAAAACCCATGGATGAGACACTAATTCAAGGGTGGAACCTTTCAAGTCCTATTTCAACATCAGCTTTGATTGCAACAAGTGCTAAAAGCCAGTCATAAATTTTTCGCATCAGCATTTATTAGAGGAGAAGTCCAAATTCTTCTGAGAATTAAGAAAAGAGATATGGAGAAGAATAAAAAGGAAGGGCAAAACACTTCTCCAAAGGTACATGGCATGTGCCCCTAGACCTTTTCTGACTTTCACTGCCATGACCCTCCTTCCCTAACACACAGTAACCCAATTCTGGCACCCTGCCAGTAACTTCTACCTGCAAAAAGTCCAGAGTTATCAATTGGCCCTGGGAAGAGGTTGGGCTCTCCAACGTTGTACAGGTCCCAGCTGTCAAAGCCCACATATTTTTTCCATTGCTTGAACCATCGGCTGTCAATCAAGTACCTGTAACAAAAGGAAGGGTACGTTGAAACCAGGAAAGAGAGAAGCACTTAGCGGCAGGAGGGCAGCTACTGCAAAAGTTAGAAAACAAGGCAAGAGGGGAAGTGGAAAGGAGAAGAAAAGCATGAACAAACGGGCAGGAGCGGACGGAGCAGTGACTCAGCAGCACCGATCCCATAGCCTCTTAAGGAGCCAGCCC